AAAAAATGAGATGAAGATGGTCGCATTCATGAGCATCAGAGCAAAGATTGTTGTCCATCGGTAACCGAACTTGTTGGTGATAGGTCCGGCAAGGAAGACACCCACGAAGGCACCACATTGTCCTGCTTGGAAGAGAGCACTCTGCCATCTTGTTGGGATGGTCCAACCTGAACCCTCGACGTGAACTCCGTAGTGTTTCTGGAAGGCGGGAAGAGCGACAAAGTTTCCGTTCAGGAACATATCGAACGATTCCATGACCTGGGTGAACAAACGTCAGTAGCCATTTAGAAATGAGGACTCTTGAGATTTACTCACAATGGTAAAGCACATAATGAATGCCCAGAAGCAAGCCCATGGATGGGCCTTCGCGGCAGCCCAAACGCCCTGTTCATGCTCGCGCTGTTCAGCATCGAAGGCATCATGCATAAGATCATTGTTCTTCAAGACTTCCTTATGGTCGAAGTCGGTATGACCGAGCTCCTCCTTTGGCTTGAGAACCTGTTCAGACATGTTGATAACTGGCCTGCAATTGCATCTGCCAAGATAGTGATCGGAAGCCAAGAAAGCTGGCGACGGTTAAGGTAATTATACATAATCTCTTAGTACGACTCTCCGCATTATGGCCCAAACCTTGTCTGAAGCATATACGTGGAGTTGTGGAGCTGTCCGTAAGATACTGTCGTTACTATTCTTCGCATGCTATAGGTGCGCGTAACGTTGACTCGGCAATACGGCAACGGGCAAGTTCCGTCACCAGCTATTCACGAGCCGGGCTGATCCCCGTAGCGGCTAGTGTACGGGTCCTGCGGCTCTGATCGACCAACGAATTGTTTCACTAGAGATTGGGGATTACTTCCTCAAGGAGAGGCAAGAAAACTTAGGACCTCTTTTCTCAGTGATAAGAAGATTTAGGTACGTTGAGTATAACTTAGCAAGCCTTTAGACCAGCTTATTTTGGCACCCTGATCTAACGTCAGAAGCTTTCTTGCTTCCTGGGGTTCTTCACCGGCTTCGAAAGCGTGTGACATTCGTGACGGGCCGAATGCAACGTGAAACCATTCCGTTGATAGCTAGTCTCCGCATGGGAAGAGCCTGCGGGGAGAAGGTTGGAGAAGGCCTTATCCCCATGGGCATTGGGGTAATTCTCCACTATCCTGCGCAACGTAGCATCTGGCCTCGGCTTTTGTGGTGTCACTCTGGTCCTACATAAAGTGTTGGTAATTTTCCTTGGATGGATTTGGGCCTCTGGAGTCTCCACGGACCCCGTGGGGGAAGTAGGTATTGGAGAATAGAGGGGCATGCTCTGTGCGGGGTGGATTGAGGTAAATTTCTACAGCACGATCATCATCAGGAATGGGGCTCGTCTCGGGCTTCTCTCCAGATCAGCCTCAGAGTTCTCCGAGGGATATGTCATAAATCTTTCCTAACTAGCATGAACCTTGTTATTACATCAGAGCTGCAGCGATGAAGCCAGAGATAACATTTACTGGCCCTTGATCTCTTTCTTCCGAGCCTTGACGTCCCCCTTTATCCCTTTCACCAATCCCTTGAGTTCCGATTTGAGCGCTTTCTTATCCTCCTTAGAAATTTTACCGGTCTTTTTAGCCGTGTATAATTCTTGAAGAAAGCCGGTCACGATTGTGACTGCGGCTTGAACCGCGCATTTGGCACATTGATCGCCGAGCGTTAGGCTGTCAACGGCGTCGGCGAGACGTTGAAGTTCGGCTTTGGGGCGGTTTTGGAGAAGCCTATCGAGATGAGGGGTCTCAGATTGTCTGTGGACTTGGCAGTCGTTGGGGCTTATCGATACGGATGGAGTTGGTGTCTTGATCTCCGAATGAACCGGTGCTGAAGTCATGATTAAGATCGAGCGGCTTATAATTCACTAGTAATTCAGCAATAATTAAATTATACAGAATAGTAATTCTTTAGAAACTTCAAGATAGTCTGTCCCTTTACTTTATATGCTTACAATATGTGTTGTGTTATTTGTCGGTATTTTACAGTGGCAATGGCGGAGCAAGCCTCCCCGTCCACTACCGAGATCACCGAACGGAGATTTTCCAGACCGGCCAGGGCTCACAGCGGCTGTAGGGTAGCAGACGCCGAGATGACAACTTGAAGGTGCAGATAGCTCCCAGTTTTTGTTAAAGAGCATATACATATTTGAGTTGCTATCTCACAAGGCATAAGAAAATTAAGATTGTCTTTAGTCTAGAGCTTAGGTATTTTGTATTGCGAAGCGAAAAGCCTGCTCCATTGGCAAGACAGTTCATGCATGTCGAACGACGGTGGTGACGCTGCAGGCACACAAATTCCATCCATACCATTATTAAAGTAACTCAGTCAACAAGTTTAACCCACTTTCCGCTGATTACACGCTCACAGTATCGTTTATGCTTTGCGATTTTACTACGAGGCAAGTATTGTGACTCCCACCATCGAGATGACTTTGTTGTGAGGTTCAGTGCCGCATAGCCAGCTCTATGACGCAATGATTCTGCCCTAACCAACAGCATCGTCGCTGCTCCCAGGTTGTAGTGCTGACCAGTATAAAAATGGACTATTAATATAGTCCGTTGTCCGCTATCTACATTTCCATTGTCCGGAATGCGATGCATCTCAACAATGGGAAATAATATTAAAGCTGGAAATAAGTGCCAAGAAAACGTGGGTGGGATGCATTCTTCATTTCAGAGTCAAGTGAACCATCCGACGATTCCGTATTTCCAGCCGCTCCAACCAAATGTCGGGTCTCAAAGTCCTTGTGTCGGGAGCCTCAATCGCAGGCCCTGCGACAGCGTACTGGCTCGCTAAGGCCGGTGCGAAGGTCACAGTAATTGAACGCTTTCCAGCTCTGCGTACCGGCGGACAAGCCGTTGACATTCGCACTGCTGGTGTGTCTGTTATGCGAAAGATGGCTGGGTTGGAAGCTGCTGTGAGAGCCAAGTCGACGCAAGAAGAAGGGATCAGCTTCGTTCGCGAAGATGGTACGCCTTACGGAGTTATCAGACCAACTGGGAATTCGGACCAACAATCGCTTGTCTCGGAGTACGAGATCTTACGCGGGGATTTATCCAAGATTCTGTTCGATATGACAAGAGGCAACAAGAACATCAACTACATATTTGATGAGCAGATAGCGTCGATGCAGCAAAGTGAAAAGATTGCCGGCCCTATCACAGTCACGTTTACAAATGGTACGGAAGCTTCGGAGTACGACTTGGTGGTCGCTTGCGATGGCGCGACGTCAAGAACGCGTGCATTGGGACTGGGTTGTAATGGTGGCGATCAAATCGTCTCAACCAACTGCTGGTCGGCCTACTTCTCGATACCCCAGGATGTCCTCAATGGTAGCAAAATTGGACAGGGATTCAACGCGGTAAGAGGACGCAATATCAGTATTGGCTCGGACCCAGAAGGCTTCAGTCGCGTTCTGCTCATGTGCATGAATCCGAGGGATAAGCCAGAGAGCGCGGTCGCGTTTCGGGAAGCTTCAGCAAAAGGGAACGACGCGCTCAAGAAATACATTGCGCAGCATTACAGTGATGTCGGATGGAAAAGCAGCATCGCGTTGAAGGAAATGATGAATTCTGAGGACTTTTACGCGAGTGAAATTGTACAGGTCAAAACACCAACATTGTCCAAGGGACGGTTTGTCCTGGTTGGTGATGCAGGATACGCAGCAGGTCTCACAGGCGGTGGGACGAGCCTCGCTCTTGCAGGCGCCTACATCCTGGCAGGAGAGCTGAGCAAACACAAGGGAGATATCACAGCTGGTCTTCAAGGCTACGAGCAACAGATCAGGCCTTTGATCAACAAGATGCAGATGATTCCTCCGCTGATCACGACAATTCTAGCACCGCAGACGGCTTGGGGTATTTGGCTGCGCAACAATATTTTCGCGTTCGTCGCGTGGACGGGGCTCGTCGAGCTCGCTCAGCGGTATATTGGCGGTGGCTTTGGCGATGCGAGAGCATTTCCAATTCCGGAGTATGATTGAGAGAATTGAGGCATGAAGTTAATTGCAGTTTCGCCGTTCTGGAGATAATTGAAGATTCCGCTTTGAGACATTGACCAATTGGTTGAGGTGACTGACTGTGTTGGAGCAACGCGTCTCATGTCTGGTTGACAGTAATCGGAGACACATTGCACCGACATACAACATCAATGCACCGACCGCACTATGCATAAGCCGACGAAGATTGATAAGCTCTTGTCATAATGAACGAGCAGTGGTAAAAAAGCGAGCTCTGGCATAATAAGTTGTGCGAGGTTATGTTCTCTGAATTGTGCACTGCACCGACACCAGCCCCTTCAATTTCCAAGTGCAAGCCCAGCGGTTGTGCACTCGCGCTCTAACAGATCCAGGAGTTGTACGGAGAGCCATAGAGTCACAGCGCGAAATTTCAGTCTTTCGCAAGGAGCACGCGTCGTTGAGCCCCTCCGCGTGCCGCTCGCTCGACGCGTCTGCACTAACAATTTCCTTTCACGTGCTCAACGTCTCATCCCTGAACTGTTTGTGCAACTCTGTCTCTGGGCTGCCAAAAAACATCAACACCAGCGAGAACGAAATTTTTGAAAACAACAGCTATTTACAGCGCCGCAACACCGTTCCGACAGGTTAATTGGATAGCCTAGTGTTGGCCGCATTGCCCAGTGCGACTTAGAACATTATGGCGACCTCGTGGCCCTAGGACGAAATTTGGCCCACTGATTACCGAGAGCATGCCACAAATTTGAGCAAATATCTTTAAAAGGCACTGTCAGCCATCGATAATGGAGATGGTCTGCCTATCGCATCCCGTGGAGTTCGAGTTGCACTTATTGGAGCTCTTACCTTCATCGTCAAAATGCAGAGCATACCCGATCTTGGTCACGTTTATGAAGCCGTGAAAAACGGCCAAGCTGAAATAAAAACCGCAGCAGAAAATTTAGTGCAACACATCAACAGCCTTAAAAATGATCTCAATGAAACAAACACCCAAGCTTAATAAACCATGGAAGAAGTCCAGCGCAGTTCGGAGATTACGATAGATGCAAAAGCGGCTGCAAAGGAAGCCACAGAGATCGGTAAAGTAACGATGAAAATGATCAGAGATATGAAGCTTGTAAGCCAGCAGAACCAAGCCAACGCCATGCCTACCTACGCCAACGTGTTAGCGAGGGGAGGGCTAGCGGCAAGCATATATAACCTACAGAACCAGAAAGCATCACCTGTTTAGACCCTGCGTGAGATTATCATCAACATCAGAGACCCTGTTATTATAGCTAACATCAGAATGATAAGCCTACGCAGCCTGAAGTCACATGTAGACCTCGTAATTGAGCAAAGCAGCAACGAACACATAGAGAACATCAAGGTAGTATCCTCCAATTAGCTTAAGAGCGGTGACCTGAGCATCAAGACGGCCACTACAGCGGACATGGTGGCGCTTAGATAGTTTGCAGAAGACTGGGAACAAAGGATCGGAAACGGCGCCACAGTACGCATTCCGACGTACGGTGTCTTGGTGTATGGCGTATGCACTAGTTCGATGAACATGGATAATTTTGAACTCATCAGAGATGGGATACTTCAGGATAATAAGCCCTTTATACCAAATGCAGAGATCAAGTATATAGGCTGGCTGACGAGATCTTCGTCTATTAAATCAGCATCTTTGGTCGTGGTTGAGTTTATGAGACCAGAAGACGCAAATAAAGTCATCGATGAGGGCCTCATTTGGCAAGGCGAGGTGTTCCAATGCGAGCTCTATGATAGACAGTGCCGTGTGAGACAATGCTTCCAGTGTCACAAATACGGCCATATAGGAACCTAGTGCAAAGCAACAATAACATGCGGCTATTGTGCGCAAGATTATGCCACCCGGGATTGCCTAACCAAGAGCGATAGGAATGCCCTGCGAAAATGCGCGGCCTGTAACGGCCCTCACGAAGCCTGGAATAACCAATGCCCTACCAGGAAACAGGAGGTGAACAAGGCCAAGGCAGCCTCTAAATCGAGACCTAGGTACCACTTAGAGCTAGAAAGCTTTGTCGCCAGCACCACGACCGGAATTAGAACAAGGGATCGGCAAAATGAATCAAACCCGATCGCCAGGACAGGACGACCCACCTTGGAACCAGGCCGGCCACGGGACGCCAACTCGTCCCGGAGTAGATCGCCGACGAAGAAGCAACAGAAGAGAGCGAATTGCAGCAACAACCAGGTAAC